AACTTTAGTTTTGTTGGTCTCTGCTTGTCTCAGAATGGCTCGCTTCTTTAGTAGCGTCCTGACGGCAAGATCTGTTGCTGCTCACTTGGCTTGACGGTTTGAATTTTCAAGATATGATGTTTCTTTCAATGCAGTTTGTATTCGTAAGACACGACATCTGGAATCCAGCAATCGTGCGTAATCTGCTTCCAATTTTCAGTGTATGACAGAAGACGCCCTCCCACTGGTCCTGGAGTCGGCATTATGTTGAAAAACAGTAGGTGTAAATCGCAATCCATAGACATAACCAGGTCGAAAGAGTCTATAACGTCAGAGTGGGTGGCAAGGAAGTCAGAATCTGCGTTCACCTCTGCCCTTGCTCTGCTCCGGCGACCGGATCCTCGTTTCTTGTAGTTGGAATGACGAAAACATTCCTGAGAAGATTGGTGCTTGTTGTACCCCCAACTCTGTTGAAATGAATCCTTTCCAGAGGGGACAAACTTCTTCTTAGGAGGCTGTGTATATGACGAATCCTTATGGGGATGGGAAGATCTATGTGCCTTGGCAGCTAGGCTGATAGCTCATGCTTGGAATCGTTCCGTTGTATCTTGTCTGACCTCGTCTTTGAAATGTCTCAATTTGCCATTGAATGTCTTAGGAGCAGATATCAGTTGTGGCATTGCCTCTAGGTTTGGTTAGAAACAGCTCTTGAATCAATATGTGCTAATAGTTGTTGACGCTGAACCCATAGTAGCTGTGAAGACACCCAGACTTGGGTGGAGAGTAAGTCTTCCTGCATTCTGCCTGAAGTGTCCGACTTGATCTGTCCTGAAGTCATAGGAGTCTCTCCGAGTATGCCTTCATAAGATGTCTGTAATGGTGGAATGATGTGTCTGATTCCGTGGACAAACCAGTTGATATAAGCGCCAGTGTCCATTGAATATCTGGATACCGAGGACAGATTCTTAATCCATGAAGCAGGTAATGTGACATTACTATTAGGGTTCTTCATAAAGTCTTTATCCAAACTTTGATGATCCGGAAGTGGACTATCATGAGTTTTATACAACTTCTGCTTCAATGGAGGTAAGGGTAGTTGTTCATCATGCTTGAGCATGAGTAGACTTTCCGACATCTGGTCTACTACCTTGCCTGCATAACTCGGCCAAGGCAATGTCTGGTGGATATGTTGAGAGGATGACATCCCCCATATTCCGACATCTCAGTCCGTAATAGTCTGTAGTACACTCCACGTGTTTCCCGTGCGCTTCATCATCCGTTGGTGTCCAGGATGATTCCAGTATAATTATCCGTGTGGCTGCCTTGGGTACCGTCGGTTGGACGGTCTACCCTGTAGATGTCTTAACGGTTGGCTGGACGGTCGGCTTGACGGTCGGCTGGGTTGCCGTGGAGTGGGTGCGGCGACCGTACGGTGTCTTAGCTGAGGAGTATGGCCTTGCGGTACCCTGCTGGGACCCAAGCGAAGATTTAGCTGACTGTGTATCATGGTAGGGTAAAGCTTGCGAGCTTATACCTGGTTGGTCGGCCGGCTGGCCGTACGGCTGATCCGTTGTCTGGACAGCTGGCTGGATGGTTGGCTGGTCGGTACGGTCGGCTGGGGTTGGGCCTACTTGGGGACTTGGGGACTTCTTAGCCAGATCTGTCTGTCTACTCTTCATCATCTCCATATCTTCACTGAGAACCGAGTCTGAACCATCGCCTCATCCTCTCCAGCTGTGAATAGTTGTTGTATCAGACTCATGGAGAGCGCAGGATATGATTGTTCTGGTGGAGTAGGAGTAAGAGGCGCTGGGGTAGAATCAGACGCCTGATCGGTGTCGGCTGCCGTGACGACTTCAACTTTTCTCTTGGCCGCTTCACGCATCTTAACCTTAGTTACAGCATCGGCTAACCTTAAGAAGTCTCTCTTAGATGTGTTGGCGCACTGCTGTCATCTTGTCTCCTCTGTGCATATCGTCTCTCTGCACCTCATGCAGTTACCATGAGGATCTCCCGTGATCATAAACCGACCATATTTCTTGCAACCGAGAGTAGAGGGAGACTCCATTATGACCTCACAACAACACCTCACAGCAGCTTATACTCACGTGCGTGCGATCGTCACTCCAGTTAGCAGCTATAAAAATTTACTTACTGTGTCTGTTATTATAGAAAACTATGAGAATAATCTTAGATTAATGTGACTTAATACCAAGTGCTAGATCATTACAACTATACGACTCCAGCACACACAGGAAAGAAGTGAGATTCCCGCCATTGCACACGTCTTAGCTTGGGTGCTTACGGTGCTATTTAGGAACAACTAATTGTGTAATTCATAGTGACGAGGACGTCTGTTGGAAAATCTGAAAATTTTAGTTAGTGTGACTGAAACCAAAATACAGGATTTATGGCAAAGATGTTATAGAGGTAGAGGATTCGCAAGAATTACAGTACATTTACAAAGTCACAGTATAATTTCATTGGTGTGCCTCATAATTTCATGTGGAACCCTCTAGTCCCTGCTGTGACATGGCCAGGTCAGACTCCTCACATGGGTACATATGGAACCCTCTTGTCACCACTGTGACATGGCCAGGTCAGACTCCTCACATGGGTACATATGGAACCCTCTTGTCACCACTGTGACATGGCCAGGTCAGACTCCTCACATGGGTACATATGGAACCCTCTTGTCACCACTGTGACATGGCCAGGTCAGACTCCCCACATGGGTATATGTGGAGCCCTCTTGTCCCTGCTGTGACATGCCCAGGTCAGACTCCTCACATGGGTACATATGGAACCCTCTTGTCACCACTGTGACATGCCCAGGTCAGACTCACAACTTGGGTACATGTGGAGCCCTCTTGTCCCCACTGTGACATGGCCAGGTCAGACTCACAACATGGGTACATGTGGAACCCTCTAGTCCCTGCTGTGACATGGCCAGGTTAGACTCCCATCATGGGTACATGTGGAGTCCTCTTGTCCCCACTGTGACATGGCCAGGTCAGACTCACAACTTGGGTACATGTGGAGCCCTCTTGTCCCCACTGTGACATGGCCAGGTCAGACTCACAACTTGGGTACATGTGGAACCCTCTTGTCCCCACTGTGACATGGCCAGGTCAAACTCCACACATGGGTACATGTGGAGTCCTCTAGTCCCCACTGTGACATGGCCAGGTTAGACTCCCATCATGGGTACATGTGGAACCCTCTAGTCCCCACTGTGACATGGTCAGGTAAGACTCACAACATGGGTACATGTGGAGCCCTCTTTTCACCATTGTGACATGGCCAGGTCAGACTCCACACATGGGTACATGTGGAACCCTCTTGTCACCACTGTGACATGGCCAGGTCAGACTCCCCACATGGGTACATGTGGAGTCCTCTTGTCACCACTGTGGCATGGCCAGGTCAGACTCCACACATGGGTACATGTGGAACCCTCTAGTCCCTGCTGTGACCTGGCCAGGTTGGCCTCCTCACATGGATACATGTGGAACCCTCTTGTCCCCACTGTGACATGGTCAGGTCAGACTCACAACATGGGTACATGTGGAACCCTCTTGTCCCCACTGTGACATGGTCAGGTCAGACTCACAACATGGGTACATGTGGAGCCCTCTAGTCACCACTGTGACATGGCCAGGTCAGACTCACAACATGGGTACATGTGGAGCCCTCTAGTCACCACTGTGACATGGCCAGGTCAGACTCACAACATGGGTACATGTGGAGTCCTCTTGTCACCACTGTGACATGGCCAGGTCAGACTCCCCACATGGGTATGTGTGGAGCCTTGGAATCCCTGCTGTGACATGGCTAGGTTGGACTCAGTATCGCAGCTGTTTGCTCATCTTTTATAAGATATTGTGTGGCCATTGTGATGAGTTGTACTTCTAAAACTGACTAAGAAGACAAGACTTTCTTCAATGAAACAAACAAGATTAGTGTTTCAGAGTTTTATTGTTGTGAAACAGTAATACAGAGTATTTGAATCACAGGACATAACAAGGTTTGGCACTGTATCATTATGTCATATCACAGACATTATCCTCAATAGAGGAATAAAATTTAAAAAATAGGTATACCTCATAGATATAGATATATCTCATAAATATAAATATATAATAGATATAGGTTTCTCTCATAAATATAGGTATATCTCATAAGTATAAGCATGGATATATATCAAACATGTGTGCTGTAATAGACATCTCCATTCCTAACTAGCGCACCCTAAGGGGAAAGTTCCAAAGTTGGATGTACAATAATAAACTTAATACTTTTGTAACATAAACATGCTTTGTGAGGCTCTGGAAGGCTGACAGTTAGATTGCCATCTCATACTATCAGGTACCCATTCACTGCTGGGCGAACAGAGGCATATTTCGAACAGACTCATGCCGACACAGCACATACATGGTAGGAATACTGTGTACATCTACACACCACATACATGGTAGGATGCTATCATTAACAATGAACAAAACGTGTTTTGATCAATTTGAACTATCTTATTATTTTTTTCCTTTGTATTTTGAAAATTCAAGATAAATACAGAATCAAAAAGACATATAAGATACCATATACCATATCAAATTCTAGTGATAACAAATAATTATATTCTATATTAATGTTTTTTAATACCTGGATGTAGGGTGGGGGGATTTCAAATGTGGGCATTCCTTTACGCCAATGATACAGAATAAAATGAAGTAAAGTGTTATACTTCGTGAACCAATTCAAGATATTTGCAGAGGGAACACACCAGTGCCAATTCAAAGGGGGAACTTGATGTCTCTTCTAGATCTCACAATTTGGAACATCTTTTTGTAGGAGTGAGTTGAGTTGGGTTTAACGCCGCTTTTAACATTATTCCAGTTATATCACGGGGTGTCAGCTTAATGTGGGAGGAAAGCCCGAAGTGATGCAGGTCTCAGACGTTTACCACTTCGATGAAACCCACGAGCACGGGTATGGTGCTGACAAACCTAGAAACATAATCGGGGCAAACCGGGATTCGAACGCACAATCATAGGTTTCTGGCGTGCCCAAGGGACGCAACTCTGCACAGCGAATGGCGGCGACTCAGACGACTGGGCCACCCGTGCCCCCTTTTGTTGGAAGAAATCATCGATCCATGTCTAGATGTAAATTATTCCATACGCAAAGACTGTTGACTACTGAGCTACTTGACTATTAGTCTGTTAACCAGGCATCATCAATACTTCATGTCAATGGGTACTCAGCATTCCTCTAGCACTCAGGAATATATTCATCCATCCCTGGATGTAAAGAATCTGTAACACCACCCTCCATCACCTGTGAATACAGTGGCCCAATATGTGTTGGAGAGAGATGTGTTCTCTACGACCCTCCATCATCTGTAAATACAGTGACCCGATATGTGTGTTGTGGAGAGATATGTTCTCTACGAACCCTCCATCGCCTGTGAATACAGTGACCCGATATGTGTGTTGTGGAGAGATGTGTTCTCTACGACCCTCCATCACCTGTGAAAACAGTGACCAGATATGTGTGTTGTGGAGAGATGTGTTCTCTAAGACCCTCCATCACCTGTGAAAACAGTGACCAGATATGTGTGTTGTGGAGAGATGTGTCCTCTACGACCCTCCATCACCTGTGAATACAGTGACCCAATATGTGTGTTGTGGAGAGATGTGTTCTCTACGACCCTCCATCACCTGTGAATACAGTGACCCGATATGTGTGTTGTGGAGAGATGTGTTCTCTACGACCCTCCATCACCTGTGAATACAGTGACCCGATATGTGTGTTGTGGAGAGATGTGTTCTCTACGACCCTCCATCACCTGTGAATACAGTCACCCGATATGTGTGTTGTGGAGAGATGTGTTCTCTACGACCCTCCATCATCTGTGAATACAGTGACCCAATATGTCTGTGTTGTGGAGAGATGTGTTCTCTACGACCCTCCATCACCTGTGAATACAGTGACCCGATATGTGTGTTGTGGAGAGATGTGTTCTCTACGACCCTCCATCACCTGTGAATACAGTGACCCAATATGTGTGTGTTGTGGAGAGATGTGTTCTCTACAACCCTCCATCACCTGTGAATACAGTGACCCGATGTGTGTGTTGTGGAGAGATGTGTTCTCTACGAACCCTCCATCACCTGTGAATACAGTGACCCGATATGTGTGTTGTGGAGAGATGTGTTCTCTACGACCCTTCATCACCTGTGAATACAGTGACCCGATATGTGTGTTGTGGAGAGATGTGTTCTCTACGACCCTCCATCACCTGTGAATACAGTGACCCAATATGTGTGTGTTGTGAAGAGATGTGTTCTCTACAACCCTCCATCACCTGTGAATACAGTGACCCGATGTGTGTGTTGTGGAGAGATGTGTTCTCTACGAACCCTCCATCACCTGTGAATACAGTGACCCGATATGTGTGTTGTGGAGAGATGTGTTCTCTACGACCCTCCATCACCTGTGAATACAGTGACCCCATATGTGTGTTGTGGAGAGATGTGTTCTCTACGACCCTCCATCACCTGTGAATACAGTGACCCGATATGTGTGTTGTGGAGAGATGTGTTCTCTACGACCCTCCATCACCTGTGAATACAGTGACCCGATTTGTGTGTTGTGGAGAGATGTGTTCTCTACGACCCTCCATCACCTGTGAATACAGTGACCCGATATGTGTGTTGTGGAGAGATGTGTTCTCTACGACCATCCATCACCTGTGAATACAGTGACCCGATATGTGTGTTGTGGAGAGATGTGTTCTCTACGACCCTCCATCACCTGTGAATACAGTGACCCAATATGTGTGTGTTGTGGAGAGATGTGTTCTCTACAACCCTCCATCACCTGTGAATACAGTGACCCGATGTGTGTGTTGTGGAGAGATATGTTCTCTACGAACCCTCCATCACCTGTGAATACAGTGACCCGATATGTGTGTTGTGGAGAGATGTGTTCTCTACGACCCTCCATCACCTGTGAATACAGTGACCCAATATGTGTGTTGTGGAGAGATGTGTTCTCTACGACCCTCCATCACCTGTGAATACAGTGACCCGATATGTGTGTTGTGGAGAGATGTGTTCTCTACGACCCTCCATCACCTGTGAATACAGTGACCCGATATGTGTGTTGTGGTGAGATGTGTTCTCTACGACCCTCCATCACCTGTGAATACAGTGACCCGATATGTGTGTTGTGCAGAGATGTGTTCTCTATGACCCTCCATCACCTGTGAATACAGTGACCCAATATGTGTGTTGGGGAGAGATGTGTTCTCTACGACCCTCCATCACCTGTGAATACAGTGACCCAATATGTGTGTTGTGGAGAGATGTGTTCTCTACGACCCTCCATCACCTGTGAATACAGTGACCCGATATGTGTGTTGTGGAGAGATGTGTTCTCTACGACCCTCCATCACCTGTGAATACAGTGACCCGATATGTGTGTTGTGGAGAGATGTGTTCTCTACGACCCTCCATCACCTGTGAATACAGTGACCCGATATGTGTGTTGTGGAGAGATGTGTTCTCTACGACCCTCCATCACCTGTGAATACAGTGACCCGATATGTGTGTAGTGGAGAGATGTGTTCTCTACGACCCTCCATCACCTGTGAATACAGTGACCCGATGTGTGTGTTGTGGAGAGATGTGTTCTCTACGACCCTCCATCACCTGTGAATACAGTGACCCGATATGTGTGTTGTGGAGAGATGTGTTCTCTACAACCCTCCATCACCTGTGAATACAGTGACCCGATATGTGTTGTGTAGAGATGTGTTCTCTACGACCCTCCATCACCTGTGAATACAGTGACCCGATATGTGTGTAGTGGAGAGATGTGTTCTCTACGACCCTCCATCACCTGTGAATACAGTGACCCGATATGTGTGTTGTGGAGAGATGTGTTCTCTACGACCCTCCATCACCTGTGAATACAGTGACCCGATATGTGTGTTGTGGAGAGATGTGTTCTCTACAACCCTCCATCACCTGTGAATACAGTGACCCAATGTGTGTGTTGTGGAGAGATGTGTTCTCTACGACCCTCCATCACCTGTGAATACAGTGACCCGATATGTGTGTTGTGGAGAGATGTGTTCTCTACGACCCTCCATCACCTGTGAATACAGTGACCCGATATGTGTGTTGTGGAGAGATGTGTTCTCTACGACCCTCCATCACCTGTGAATACAGTGACCCGATATGTGTGTCGTGGAGAGATGTGTTCTCTACGACCCTCCATCACCTGTGAATACAGTGACCCGATATGTGTGTTGTGGAGAGATGTGTTCTCTACGACCCTCCATCACCTGTGAATACAGTGACCCGATATGTGTGTTGTGGAGAGATGTGTTCTCTACGACCCTCCATCACCTGTGAATACAGTGACCCGATATGTGTGTTGTGGAGAGATGTGTTCTCTACGACCCTCCATCACCTATGAATACAATGGGACGATATGTGGCACCCTACGATCCTATATTACTGTTGGATATTAGTAGTTGTGTTAGTAGTTTTGTTCATAGCAGGATATTAGTAATAGCATTATTGTTAGTAGAAGGGCGGTGTAGTGGAGAGATGTGTTCTCTACGAACCCTCCATCACCTGTGAATACAGTGACCCGATATGTTTTAGTAGTATTGTTAGTAGCAGGATATCAGTAGTAGTATTGTTAGTAGCAGGATATCAGTAGTAGTATTGTTAGTAGCAGGATATCAGTAGTAGTATTGTTAGTAGCAGGATATCAGTAGTAGTATTGTTAGTAGCATGATATCAGTAGTAGTATTGTTAGTAGCAGGATATCAGTGGTAGTATTGTTAGTAGCAGGATATCAGTAGTAGTATTGTTAGTAGCAGGATATCAGTAGTAGTATTGTTAGTAGCATGATATCAGTAGTAGTATTGTTAGTAGCAGGATATCAGTGGTAGTATTGTAAGTAGTAGGATATTAGTATTAGTATTATTGTTAGTAGAGGATATTAGTATTTTTAGTATCGATTTTGAGTATTGTTAGCAGTAAGATTCCCCGATTACACAGGGCCGATGTTTAGTGGAGACCTGTGTGCTATATGTACCTCCCCGATTACATTGGGCCGATGATTTAGTGGAGACCTGTGTGCTGTATCTACCTCCCCGATTACATTGGGCCGATGATTTAGTGGAGACCTGTGTGCTATATGTACCTCCCCGATTACATTGGGCCGATGATTTAGTGGAGACCTGTGTGCTATATGTACCTCCCCGATTACACTAGGCCAATGGTTTAGTGGAGACCTGTGTGCTGTATCTACCTCCCCGATTACATTGGGCCGATGGTTTAGTGGAGAACTTTTAGGGAGCACTGATGTTGCCTGGCATTGAATCAATGAGTGGAGCACCTACCACAAGCCTAGGGCACATGTTTCACACACATTATCAAGTGAGAAATATTGCAGTTTTGGGCATTGTAATCTTAGCACTGATTGGTCTGAGCTTCCCTCATTTCTCTATACAAATGATCTATTTCCTTGCAGGGTAACAGACCCACTTGTGTTGACCCCCACATACATCCAGGTATTTTGCATAATTCAAACATTTAACAATAGATAAATCCCACACATTTCACATTTCCATGTGAACATCCCTCACACAACAGATTCATCTCATCTCATTGTAAAAAGCATCCTTATAAAAGGATTTGTAACATGGTAACCATACACTTCAATAAATCATCTATGACTCCATACCACAAAATACATCCCCAAAAATATCAAATTCACATCACAGATCAAGCAAAAAATTCTCAAAAACAGTTAACACTACATCCATGTGACAAAAAACAAATATCAAAGTGTATCACAAATAGCTCAGAAGTCCTTATTAAGTTGATAGCCAAGTCCGGTAGGGAGGGTGGACAGGTCATGGTATCTAACACATTAAGTTGGAGGTTTTATCAGTGCCTGGCTTCTTGAGGATGGTGACGAGCTGTTCATCGAAGTAGCCATATATCTTCCTCTTGAACAGCCAGCCCTTCTTGATGTATCCAAAGGCAGAGCCAGAGGAAGCAGGTCGCGTCATGTAAATCTTACATCCTGAAATAGTCAAGATGAAGGTGTGTCGGCAAGAACAATGGTAGTTCTTTTTTCTTCAAATAATTGTTCAAATTTTAACATTATTTGGGAACGGTCATTTATCATAGGGAGGCGTTGTCATGAAAAAAGGTCACATGTAAGAGGGAGTGGGTGGTTGAAGTGAGGGATTGGACAATGTCACATGTAAGAGGGGGTGGGTGGTTGAAGAGAGGGATTGGACAATGTCACATGTAAGAGGGAGTGGGTGGGTGGTTGAAGTGAGGGATTGGACAATGTCACATGTAAGACCGAGTGGGTGGGTGGTTGGAGAGAGGGATTGGACAATGTCACATGTAAGACCGAGTGGGTGGGTGGTTGAAGTGAGGGATTGGACAATGTCACATGTAGGAGGGAGTGGGTGGGTGGTTGAAGTGAGGAATTGGACAATGTCACATGTAAGACCAAGTGGGTGGGTGGTTGAAGTGAGGGATTGGACAATGTCACATGTAAGATGGGGTGGGTGGTTGAAGTGAGGGATTGGACAATGTCACATGTAAGACCAAGTGGGTGGGTGGTTGAAGTGAGGGATTGGACAATGTCACATGTAAGATGGGGTGGGTGGTTGAAGTGAGGGATTGGACAATGTCACATGTAAGACCAAGTGGGTGGGTGGTTGGAGAGAGGGATTGGACAATGTCACATGTAAGACCGAGTGGGTGGTTGAAGTGAGGGATTGGACAATGTCACATGTAAGAGGGAGTGGGTGGGTGGTTGAAGTAAGGGACTGGACAATGTCACATGTAAGACCGAGTGGGTGGGTGGTTGAAGAGAGGGATTGGACAATGTCACATGTAAGAGGGAGTGGGTGGGTGGTTGAAGTGAGGGATTGGACAATGTCACATGTAAGATGGGGTGGGTGGTTGAAGAGAGGGATTGGACAATGTCACATGTAAGACCGAGTGGGTGGGTGGTTGAAGTGAGGGATTGGACAATGTCACATGTAAGACCGAGTGGGTGGGTGGTTGAAGTGAGGGATTGGACAATGTCACATGTAAGAGGGAGTGGGTGGGTGGTTGAAGTGAGGGATTGGACAATGTCACATGTAAGACCGAGTGGGTGGGTGGTTGAAGTGAGGGATTGGACAATGTCACATGTAAGACCGAGTGGGTGGGTGGTTGAAGTGAGGGATTGGACAATGTCACATGTAAGACCGAGTGGGTGGGTGGTTGAAGAGAGGGATTGGACAATGTCACATGTAAGAGGGAGTGGGTGGGTGGTTGAAGAGAGGGATTGGACAATGTCACATGTAAGACCAAGTGGGTGGGTGGTTGAAGTGAGGGATTGGACAATGTCACATGTAAGAGGGAGTGGGTGGGTGGTTGAAGAGAGGGATTGGACAATGTCACATGTAAGACTGAGTGGGTGGGTGGTTGAAGAGAGGGATTGGACAATGTCACATGTAAGACCAAGTGGGTGGGTGGTTGAAGTGAGGGATTGGACAATGTCACATGTAAGAGGGAGTGGGTGGGTGGTTGAAGAGAGGGATTGGACAATGTCACATGTAAGACTGAGTGGGTGGGTGGTTGAAGAGAGGGATTGGACAATGTCACATGTAAGACCAAGTGGGTGGGTGGTTGGAGAGAGGGATTGGACAATGTCACATGTAAGACCGAGTGGGTGGGTGGTTGAAGTGAGGGATTGGACAATGTCACATGTAAGACCGAGTGGGTGGGTGGTTGAAGAGAGGGATTGGACAATGTCACATGTAAGAGGGAGTGGGTGGGTGGTTGAAGTGAGGGATTGGACAATGTCACATGTAAGATGGGGTGGGTGGTTGAAGAGAGGGATTGGACAATGTCACATGTAAGACCGAGTGGGTGGGTGGTTGAAGTGAGGGATTGGACAATGTCACATGTAAGACCGAGTGGGTGGGTGGTTGAAGTGAGGGATTGGACAATGTCACATGTAAGACCAAGTGGGTGGGTGGTTGAAGTGAGGGATTGGACAATGTCACATGTAAGAGGGAGTGGGTGGGTGGTTGAAGAGAGGGATTGGACAATGTCACATGTAAGAGGGAGTGGGTGGTTGAAGTGAGGGATTGGACAATGTCACATGTAAGACCGAGTGGGTGGGTGGTTGAAGTGAGGGATTGGACAATGTCACATGTAAGACCAAGTGGGTGGGTGGTTGAAGTGAGGGATTGGACAATGTCACATGTAAGACCGAGTGGGTGGGTGGTTGAAGTGAGGGATTGGACAATGTCACATGTAAAACCGAGTGGGTGGGTGGTTGAAGTGAGGGATTGGACAATGTCACATGTAAGAGGGGATGGGTGGGTGGTTGAAGTAAGGGACTGGACAATGTCACATGTAAGAGGGGATGGGTGGGTGGTTGAAGTAAGGGACTGGACAATGTCACATGTAAGAGGGGATGGGTGGGTGGTTGAAGTAAGGGACTGGACAATGTCACATGTAAGAGGGAGTGGGTGGGTGGTTGAAGTGAGGGATTGGACAATGTCACATATTAGACCGAGTGGGTGGGTGGTTGAAACGAGGGATTGGACAATGTCACATGTAAGAGGGAGTGGGTGGTTGAAGTGAGGGATTGGACAATGTCACATGTAAGACCGAGTGGGTGGGTGGTTGAAGTGAGGGATTGGACAATGTCACATGTAAGACCGAGTGGGTGGGTGGTTGAAGTGAGGGATTGGACAATGTCACATGTAAGAGGGGATGGGTGGGTGGTTGAAGTAAGGGACTGGACAATGTCACATGTAAGAGGGAGTGGGTGGGTGGTTGAAACGAGGGATTGGACAATGTCACATGTAAGAGGGAGTGGGTGGTTGAAGTGAGGGATTGGACAATGTCACATGTAAGACCGAGTGGGTGGGTGGTTGAAGTGAGGGATTGGACAATGTCACATGTAAGAGGGGATGGGTGGGTGGTTGAAGTAAGGGACTGGACAATGTCACATGTAAGAGGGAGTGGGTGGGTGGTTGAAACGAGGGATTGGACAATGTCACATGTAAGAGGGAGTGGGTGGGTGGTTGAATTGAGGGATTGGACAATGTCACATGTAAGAGGGAGTGGGTGGGTGGTTGAAGTGAGGGATTGGACAATGTCACGTGTAAGAGGGAGTGGGTGGTTGAAGTAAGGGACTGGACAATGTCACATGTAAGAGGGAGTGGGTGGGTGGTTGAAACGAGGGATTGGACAATGTCACATGTAAGAGGGAGTGGGTGGGTGGTTGAAGAGAGGGATTGGACAATGTCACATGTAAGAGGGGGTGGGTGAGTGGTTGAAGTGAGGGATTGGACAATGTCACATGTAAGAGGGAGTGGGTGGGTGGTTGAAGTGAGGGATTGGACAATGTCACATGTAAGACCGAGTGGGTGGTTGAAGAGAGGGATTGGACAATGTCACATGTAAGACCGAGTGGGTGGGTGGTTGAAGTGAGGGATTGGACAATGTCACATGTAAGATGGGGTGGGTGGTTGAAGAGAGGGATTGGACAATGTCACATGTAAGATGGGGTGGGTGGTTAAAGAGAGGGATTGGACAATGTCACATGTAAGACCGAGTGGGTGGTTGAAGTGAGGGATTGGACAATGTCACATGTAAGATGGGGTGGGTGGTTAAAGAGAGGGATTGGACAATGTCACATGTAAGACCGAGTGGGTGGGTGGTTGGAGAGAGGGATTGGACAATGTGGGTGGGTGGTTGATGTGAGGGATTGGACAATGTCACATGTAAGAGGGAGTGGGTGGGTGGTTGAAGTGAGGGATTGGACAATGTCACATGTAAGAGGGAGTGGGTGGGTGGTTGAAGTGAGGGATTGGACAATGTCACATGTAAGAGGGAGTGGGTGGGTGGTTGAAGTGAGGGATTGGACAATGTCACATGTAAGATGGGGTGGGTGGTTGAAGTGAGGGATTGGACAATGTCACATGTAAGATGGGGTGGGTGGTTGAAGTGAGGGATTGGACAATGTCACATGTAAGAGGGAGTGGGTGGGTGGTTGAAGTGAGGGATTGGACAATGTCACATGTAAGAGGGAGTGGGTGGGTGGTTGAAGTGAGGGATTGGACAATGTCACGTGTAAGAGGGAGTGGGTGGGTGGTTGAAGTAAGGGACTGGACAATGTCACATGTAAGAGGGAGTGGGTGGGTGGTTGAAGTGAGGGATTGGACAATGTCACATGTAAGAGGGGATGGGTGGGTGGTTGAAGTAAGGGACTGGACAATGTCACATGTAAGAGGGAGTGGGTGGGTGGTTGAAACGAGGGATTGGACAATGTCACATGTAAGAGGGAGTGGGTGGGTGGTTGAAGAGAGGGATTGGACAATGTCACATGTAAGAGGGGGTGGGTGAGTGGTTGAAGTGAGGGATTGGACAATGTCACATGTAAGAGGGAGTGGGTGGGTGGTTGAAGTGAGGGATTGGACAATGTCACGTGTAAGAGGGAGTGGGTGGTTGAAGAGAGGGATTGGACAATGTCACATGTAAGACTGAGTGGGTGGGTGGTTGAAGAGAGCATTGGACAATGTCACATGTAAGAGGGGATGGGTGGGTGGTTGAAGAGAGGGATTTGACAATGTCACATGTAAGACCGAGTGGGTGGTTGAAGTGAGGGATTGGACAATGTCACATGTAAGAGGGGATGGGTGGGTGGTTGAAGAGAGGGATTTGACAATGTCACATGTAAGACCGAGTGGGTGGTTGAAGTGAGGGATTGGACAATGTCACATGTAAGACTGAGTGGGTGGGTGGTTGAAGTGAGGGATTGGACAATGTCACATGTAAGACCGAGTGGGTGGTTGAAGAGAGGGATTGGACAATGTCACATGTAAGACCGAGTGGGTGGTTGAAGTGAGGGATTGGACAATGTCACATGTAAGACTGAGTGGGTGGGTGGTTGAAGTGAGGGATTGGACAATGTCACATGTAAGACCGAGTGGGTGGTTGAAGTGAGGGATTGGACAATGTCACATGTAAGAGGGGATGGGTGGGTGGTTGAAGTAAGGGACTGGACAATGTCACATGTAAGAGGGAGTGGGTGGGTGGTTGAAACGAGGGATTGGACAATGTCACATGTAAGAGGGAGTGGGTGGGTGGTTGAATTGAGGGATTGGACAATGTCACATGTAAGAGGGAGTGGGTGGGTGGTTGAAGTGAGGGATTGGACAATGTCACGTGTAAGAGGGAGTGGGTGGTTGAAGTAAGGGACTGGACAATGTCACATGTAAGAGGGAGTGGGTGGGTGGTTGAAACGAGGGATTGGACAATGTCACATGTAAGAGGGAGTGGGTGGGTGGTTGAAGAGAGGGATTGGACAATGTCACATGTAAGAGGGGGTGGGTGAGTGGTTGAAGTGAGGGATTGGACAATGTCACATGTAAGAGGGAGTGGGTGGGTGGTTGAAGTGAGGGATTGGACAATGTCACGTGTAAGAGGGAGTGGGTGGTTGAAGAGAGGGATTGGACAATGTCACATGTAAGACTGAGTGGGTGGGTGGTTGAAGAGAGGGATTGGACAATGTCACATGTAAGAGGGGATGGGTGGGTGGTTGAAGAGAGGGATTTGACAATGTCACATGTAAGACTGAGTGGGTGGTTGAAGTGAGGGATTGGACAAAGTCACATGTAAGACCGAGTGGGTGGTTGAAGTGAGGGATTGGACAATGTCACATGTAAGACTGAGTGGGTGGGTGGTTGAAGTGAGGGATTGGACAAAGTCACATGTAAGACCGAGTGGGTGGGTGGTTGAAGTGAGGGATTGGACAATGTCACATGTAAGACCGAGTGGGTGGGTGGTTGAAGTGAGGGATTGGACAATGTCACATGTAAGATGGGGTGGGTGGTTGAAGAGAGGGATTGGACAATGTCACATGTAAGACCGAGTGGGCGGGTGGTTGAAGAGAGGGATTGGACAATGTCACATGTAAGATGGGGTGGGTGGTTAAAGAGAGGGATTGGACAATGTCACATGTAAGACCGAGTGGGTGGGTGGTTGAAGTGAGGGATTGGACAATGTCACATGTAAGATGGGGTGGGTGGTTAAAGAGAGGGATTGGACAATGTCACATGTAAGACCGAGTGGGTGGTTGGAGAGAGGGATTGGACAATGTCACATGTAAGACCAAGTGGGTGGGTGGTTGGAGAGAGGGATTGGACAATGTGGGTGGGTGGTTGATGTGAGGGATTGGACAATGTCACATGTAAGATGGGGTGGGTGGTTGAAGTGAGGGATTGGACAATGTCACATGTAAGAGGGAGTGGGTGGGTGGTTGAAGTGAGGGATTGGACAATGTCACATGTAAGAGGGAGTGGGTGGGTGGTTGAAGTGAGGGATTGGACAATGTCACGTGTAAGAGGGAGTGGGTGGGTGGTTGAAGTAAGGGACTGGACAATGTCACATGTAAGAGGGAGTGGGTGGGTGGTTGAAGAGAGGGATTGGACAATGTCACATGTAAGAGGGGGTGGGTGAGTGGTTGAAGTGAGGGATTGGACAATGTCACATGTAAGAGGGAGTGGGTGGGTGGTTGAAGTGAGGGATTGGACAATGTCACGTGTAAGAGGGAGTGGGTGGTTGAAGAGAGGGATTGGACAATGTCACATGTAAGACTGAGTGGGTGGGTGGTTGAAGAGAGGGATTGGACAATGTCACATGTAAGACCGAGTGGGTGGGTGGTTGAAGAGAGGGATTTGACAATGTCACATGTAAGACCGAGTGGGTGGTTGAAGTGAGGGATTGGACAAAGTCACATGTAAGACCGAGTGGGTGGTTGAAGTGAGGGATTGGACAATGTCACATGTAAGACTGAGTGGGTGGGTGGTTGAAGTGAGGGATTGGACAATGTCACATGTAAGACCGAGTGGGTGGTTGAAGAGAGGGATTGGACAATGTCACATGTAAGACCGAGTGGGTGGGTGGTTGAAGTGAGGGATTGGACAATGTCACATGTAAGATGGGGTGGGTGGTTAAAGAGAGGGATTGGACAATGTCACATGTAAGACCCGGTGGGTGGTTGAAGTGAGGGATTGGACAATGTCACATGTTAGACCGAGTGGGTGGGTGGTTGAAGAGAGGTATTGGACAATGTCACATATTAGACCGAGTGGGTGGGTGGTTGAAGAGAGGGATTGGACAATGTCACATGTAAGATGGGGTGGGTGGTTGAAGTGAGGGATTGGACAATGTCACATGTAAGACCGAGTGGGTGGGTGGTTGAAGTGAGGGATTGGACAATGTCACATGTTAGACCGAGTGGGTGGGTGGTTGAAGTGAGGGATTGGACAATGTCACATGTTAGACCGAGTGGGTGGGTGGTTGAAGTGAGGGATTGGACAATGTCACATGTAAAACCGAGTGGGTGGGTGGTTGAAGAGAGGGATTGGACAATGTCACATGTAAAACCGAGTGGGTGGGTGGTTGAAGAGAGGGATTGGACAATGTCACATGTAAGATGGGGTGGGTGGTTAAAGAGAGGGATTGGACAATGTCACATGTAAGACCGAGTGGGTGGTTGAAGTGAGGGATTGGACAATGTCACATGTAAGACCGAGTGGGTGGGTGGTTGAAGTGAGGGATTGGACAATGTCACATGTAAAACCGAGTGGGTGGGTGGTTGAAGAGAGGGATTGGACAATGTCACATGTAAAACCGAGTGGGTGGGTGGTTGAAGAGAGGGATTGGACAATGTCACATGTAAGACCGAGTGGGTGGGTGGTTGAAGAGAGGTATTGGACAATGTCACATGTAAAACCGAGTGGGTGGGTGGTTGAAGAGAGGGATTGGACAATGTCACATGTAAGATGGGGTGGGTGGTTAAAGAGAGGGATTGGACAATGTCACATGTTAGACCGAGTGGGTGGGTGGTTGAAGTGAGGGATTGGACAATGTCACATGTAAGAGGGAGTGGGTGGTTGAAGAGAGGGATAGGAAACTGCCACATAAAATGGGAGGTGGGAAAGGTAAAATATGAAAAAGACCAGTCCTCAGTCCCCACTTCAATCTGTCAACTCTTTGGGTGAATATTATTAGTTTTTGTCTTTAGCAGTGTTTAGTTGCCATATACAGTGTCATATTAGGTTAGCAGAAAAATATTGGGGGAGGTGTTAATTTGCGACAATGCCTAATTTCAAACAATATCCAAGATGTTGAAGAGGTTGAGGTGAAGTGAGGTGAGGTGATGTTGAAGAGGTTGAGGTGAAGTGAGGTGAGGTGATGTGAAGTGAAATGGGTGTTTAACATCGTAACCAAGATTATTGCACTTATAAAGCGATGTGCATGAATGTTTGGCTGCATGTATTAGTCCGAACTTTTGGTATGACCCAGCCGTGGATCAAAGAGATTTAGGCGGTTCATGAAAAACTGACACAGTAAAAGAAGTTACACATAGTATAGGGCAAGGGCATACCTGCTTTGCATGTGATGTCATTCACTGAGACACCAAAGATGTCCTTGACTGCGTACACTTTGACTGTATGGCCTTGTGCAATGTGTGTGATACCAATAGCTGTGGTCACTACTGGTTTCAGGAGATCATCAAAATATGCTGAAACAAAATTGTATGTGTAGAGAAAATCTCAACAGTCTGAATAATAATCCAGCCATTTACGGAGACCATCTACCTTCCCAGCATGTACTCACTGAGGTCTGTATCATGGAAGTCTATGTAAAGTGTACACTCTACCAATATAAGGACAACCAGCAGTACTCACTGAGGTCTGTATCATGTAAGCCTATGTAAAGTGTGCACTCTACCAATATAAGGACAACAAACAGTACTCACTGAGGTCTGTATCATGGAAGTCTATGTAAAGTGTACACTCTACCAATGTAAGGGCAACCAGCAGTACTCACTGAGGTCTGTATCATGGAAGTCTATGTAAAGTGTACACTCTACCAATATAAGGGCAACCAGCAGTACTCACTGAGGTCTGTATCATGGAAGTCTATGTAAAGTGTACACTCTACCAATATAAGGACAACCAGCAGTACTCACTGAGGTCTGTATCATGGAAGTCTATGTAAAGTGTACACTCTACCAATATAAGGACAACCAGCAGTACTCACTGAGGTCTGTATCATGTAAGCCTATGTAAAGTGTACACTCTACCAATATAAGGACAACCAGCAGTACTCACTGAAGTCTGTATCATGGAAGTCTATGTAAAGTGTACACTCTACCAATATAAGGACAACCAGCAGTACTCACTGAGGTCTGTATCATGGAAGTCTATGTAAAGTGTACACTCTACCAATATAAGGGCAACCAGCAGTACTCACTGAGGTCTGTATCATGGAAGTCTATGTAAAGTGTACACTCTACCAATATAAGGGCAACCAGCAGTACTCACCGATGCTGCCAGTATTCTCCACAATGGGCTTGACTGTGTGGCTTCTCCTTCGCACAGGGTTGTAGGGCCCCGGCCTTGCAGGGATGGTGCGGAAGTCTGATGGTCTCGGGACTGCATACCTCACATGACGGGATCGTTGTCTTGTCCCTGAAAAAACAATGTTCATGTTCATAAAGTGCTCTTGAACCTTAGCTCTTGGTCTCAAATGGTTGTATGACAGACCCTCGAGTATCAGAATATCAACTTGAGACACATGGTCAACCAGTGTTTGAAATATAGGTATAGGCCCTGGGCCCCCTGAGGTTTACCACTATAGTATTTGATTCTAGGGACCCCCTAAATATTCATTGTAAACACTTGGGTTATGATAGGGGCCCTATGACCAAAGACAGAACCATGACACACCATAAAAGCAGGACATGGCTGTCAGTCTACCAAGGTGTTCTCCACCATGACAAACCATACAACCAGGACATGGCTGTCAGTCTAGTAAGGTGTTCTCCACCATGACACACTATACAAGCAGGACATGGCTGTCAGTCTACCAAGGTGTTCTCCACCATGACACACAATACAACCAGGACATGGCTGTCAGTCTACCAAGGTGTTCTCCACCATGACACACCATACAAGCAGGACATGGCTGTCAGTCTACCAAGGTGGTCTCCACCATGACAAGCCATACAAGCAGGACATGGCTGTCAGTCTAGTAAGGTGTTCTCCAGCATGACACACCATACAACCAGGACATGGCTGTCAGTCTACCAAGGTGTTCTCCACCACGACACACCATACAAGCAGGACATGGCTGTCAGTCTACTAAGGTGTTCTCCACCACGACACACCATACAAGCAGGACATGGCTGTCAGTCTACCAAGGTGGTCTCCACCATGACACACAATACAACCAGGACATGGCTGTCAGTCTACCAAGGTGTTCTCAACCATGACACACAATACAACCAGGACATGGCTGTGTGTCTACCAAGTCTCCACCACAACACACAATACAACCAGGACATGGCTGTCAGTCTACCAAGGTGTTCTCCACCACAACACACCATACAAGCAGGACATGGCTGTCAGTCTAGTAAGGTGTTCTCCACCATGACACACTATACAAGCAGGACATGGCTGTCACTCTACCAAGGTGTTCTCCACCATGACACACAATACAACCAGGACATGGCTGTCAGTCTACCAAGGTGTTCTCCACCATGACACACCATACAAGCAGGACATGGCTGTCAGTCTACCAAGGTGTTCTCCACCATGACAAGCCATACAAGCAGGACATGGCTGTCAGTCTACCAAGGTGTTCTCAACCGTGACATGCCATACAACCAGGACATGGCTGTCAGTCTACCAAGGTGTTCTCCACCATGACACACCATACAACCAGGAAATGGCTGTCAGTCTACCAAGGTGGTCTCCACCATGACATGCCATACAACCAGGACATGGCTGTCAGTCTAGTAAGGTGTTCTCCACCATGACACACAATACAACCAGGACATTGATGTCAGTCTACCAAGGTGTTCTTCACCATGACACACCATACAACCAGGACATGGCTGTCAGTCTACCAAGGTGTTCTCCACTATGACAAACCATACAACCAGGACATGGCTGTCAGTCTACTAAGGTGGTCTTCACCATGACACACAATACAACTAGGACATGGCTGTCAGTCTACCAAGGTGTTCTCCACCATGACACACAATACAACCAGGACATGGCTGTCAGTCTACCAAGGTGTTCTCCACCATGACACACCATACAAGCAGGACATGGCTGTCAGTCTACCAAGGTGTTCTCCACCACGACACACAATACAACCAGGACATGGCTGTCAGTCTACCAATGTGGTCTCCACCATGACAAGCCATACAAGCAGGACATGGCTGTCACTCTACCAAGGTGTTCTCCACCATGACACACAATACAACCAGGACATGGCAGTCAGTCTACAAAGGTGGTCTTCACCATGACACACAATACAACCAGGACATGGCTGTCAGTCTACCAAGGTGGTCTCCACCATGACACACCATACAACCAGGACATGGCTGTCAGTCTACCAAGGTGTTCTCCACCATGACACGCCATACAACCAGGACATGGCTGTCAGTCTACCAAGGTGTTCTCCACCATGACACACAATACAACCAGGACATGGCTGTCAGTCTACCAAGGTGTTCTCCACCACGACACACAATACAACCAGGACATGGCTGTCAGTCTACCAAGGTGTTCTCCACCATGACACACCATACAACCAGGACATGGCTGTCAGTCTACCAAGGTGTTCTCCACCACGACACACAATACAACCAGGACATGGCTGTCAGTCTACCAATGTGGTCTCCACCATGACACGCCATACAAGCAGGACATGGCTGTCAGTCTAGTAAGGTGTTCTCCACCACGACACACCATACAACCAGGACATGGCTGTCAGTCTACCAAGGTGTTCTCCACCATGACACGCCATACAACCAGGACATGGCTGTCAGTCTACCGAGGTGTTCTCCACCATGACACACAATACAACCAGGACATGGCTGTCAGTCTACAAAGGTGGTCTTCACCATGACACACAATACAACCAGGACATGGCTGTCAGTCTACCAAGGTGGTCTCAACCATGACACACCATACAACCAGGACATGGCTGTCACTCTACCAAGGTGTTCTCCACCATGACACACAATACAGCCAGGACATGGCTGTCAGTCTACCAAGGTGTTCTCCACCACGACACGCAATACAACCAGGACATTGCTGTCAGTCTACCAAGGTGGTCTTCACCATGACACGCCATACAAGCAGGACATTGCTGTCAGTCTAGTAAGGTGGTCTCCACCATGACACACCATACAGCCAGGACATGGCTGTCAGTCTACCAAGGTGTTCTCCACCATGACAAGCCATACAACCAGGACATGGCTGTCAGTCTACCAAGGTGGTCTCCACCATGACACACCATACAACCAGGACATGGCTGTCAGTCTACCAAGGTGTTCTCCACCATGACACACCATACAGCCAGGACATGGCTGTCAGTCTACCAAGGTGTTCTCCACCATGACAAGCCATACAACCAAGTCATGGCTGTCAGTCTACCAAGGTATTCTCCACCATGACACACAATACAACCAAGTCATAGCTGTCAGTCTACCAAGGTGGTCTTCACCATGACACACAATACAACCAGGACATGGCTGTCAGTCTACCAAGGTGTTCTCCACCATGACACATAATACAACCAGGACATGGCTGTCAGTCTACCAAGGTGTTCTCCACCATGACACACAATACAAGCAGGACATGGCTGTCAGTCTACCAAGGTGTTCTCCACCATGACACACCATACAACCAAGTCATAGCTGTCAGTCTACCAAGGTGTTCTCCACCATGACACACAATACAAGTAGGACATGGCTGTCAGTCTACCAAGGTATTCTCCACCATGACACACAATACAACCAAGTCATAGCTGTCAGTCTACCAAGGTGGTCTTCACCATGACACACCATACAACCAGGACATGGCTGTCAGTCTACCAAGTCACCACCATGACACACAATACAACCAGGACATGGCTGTCAGTCTACCAAGGTGTTCTCCACCATGACACACCATACAACCAGGACATGGCTGTCAGTCTACCAAGGTGTTCTCCACCATGACACACAATACAAGCAGGACATGGCTGTCAGTCTACCAAGGTGTTCTCCACCATGACACACCATACAACAAGGACATGGCTGTCAGTCTACCAAGGTGTTCTCCACCATGACACACCATACAACCAGGACATGGCTGTCAGTTTACCAAGGTGTTCTCCACCATGACACACAATACAACCAGGACATGGCTGTCAGTCTACCAAGGTGTTCTCCACTATGACACACCATACAACCAGGACATGGCTGTGTGTCTACCAAGTCACCACCATGACACACAATACAATACTTCCTTGCTGTGTGGTGGATAAGTCAGGGTGTAAGGTGACGTCATTATGATTGAGCAGGAAGGGTCACAGGACAGTACTATTGACCTTTTTCACACTTTCGCCATCTTGGATCGAAAACGAGGCTTGGAGAGCATAGCTCCATGCAGTGTGAGTCGCATCAGCTGATAGGGAACAGACAGCATGTTGTGCATTTCACTGATGGACATTTCAAACAAACAAAAATGGTATCCTCTGTATCTAATACAGAAGATATTTCACATTTAATCCTGAGGTCCAACTAAAATATGCCTGTAATACACTGGAATTAGCATTTTACTGTCAGGATCCCGGAAGTGAATCGAAAGGTGCATTTCGAGACGCGTATTTCAGAAACAGATATTATATTTATCATAACCTCGTCTGCATATAGGTACAATTTGACAGTACATTCAATGACAGAAGTTTTGTATCGTAAATGAAACGCATAACATGAAACAGATCAGTGTACTTTTGCAAATCTGCTCAGTCAATGCGTGGCTTGGCGAACTCCAGATCGTCGATCATGTTTATTTCACGTTTCATAGCGGTGTTTGCTGCACAACGCACTGTCGTTTTGCCATGAGTCCAGTTGACAAAAACACTTTTTCGGCTATGATTTTCATCAAAACATTATGATGTAAATGAAATTAGTTCACAAAATAACTCGTGTGTCAAAATAAATATTCAGAAGGGGCGATAACTCTATTCAGTGTGTACAATGACAGATGAAACTTTACTTGTTCTTCAAACATCACCTATTTAACCGATTATTAACGATTGAGATTGCAGCCTGCACGACAAAAGTAATAATGTGTGAAATGTTTAAAATAAGTTAAAAGGAAACTTAAAATTGATAAATATAAATAATGCATGAAATTGAAGAAATATAAGAATTGATACAAACACCAACTTCTTGAACACCCTCACCTACTTCTGTATGATGTTAGGTAATTGTATATCAAAAGGAAGCTACTAATACATTTATCCTGAATAGTTTGAAAATGTCTTGATCAGATATGAGTACAGATAAAATAACAAAAGATGAAAAGGAATCAACTTCATTTGGTAATCAAGCCAAGATAAAATATATGTATCGGTACAAATTATGTTGATGGAACAATCTGGATTTCTCATATTTAATAAAGAAAAACAAACTGAAATTTTCATGTCTTTATTTCTCACAATATAAGTTTTCAAAACTTAACATTGACCAGGTGTCTTTGTCAGTCAAAAGCACCTAATTAAATTCCCGGAGAAAATAATTTTCTTGCTTGTAAACAAATGGTACAATGTGTGACTGAATATGGCTTTTCACTTCCTCGTCCCTTGACAGGACGCACATTGTAACCATTGTGTTACTGTCAGCAGAAAGCTCCCCCGGACATCCGTCACCGGATACTAGTACTTCATTGTGTTGACTCGCTGGCCTGAAATTAATAATTCAATAATATTGTAATAATATTTCTACTTCCAAATTTTTTTTATAAACAATGCATATTCACCTTCTCGTTTTGATATGAATGTATTCCCGGTATGTATTTAATCATGAAATACTTTGTTTCGTCTGACCATGCTGAAAACATACTCTCTCCAGAGTGAAATAAATAAGATTTTTATTAAAATCAGGTGAAATATCACATTTTGTCATCCCTACAGTCAGTCTGCCTCATTGACACTGTTTTTCTGAGTAAGGTCATATAGATCACAAAGAAAATATAAGACTTGAATTTCTTTTGTCAAATGAAATGTTTACCTCTTCTTGTGGTTTACTAAAGTTGATATCTTGACTTGAAAATATTAACTTTGTCAGGTCACAAGATGAGATAAATTCATGCTTTTATCGTTATTTGACAAGGAAAAAAATTTCTTCTATGTATTTATATTTTTTTATATTTCTCGTTTTGATTGAATTATAAAAATTATAAAAATTATCACCCCACTTGACTTGACTGTAATAAACTTAAGTTCTAAAGATTGTTAACAATAGTAAACTATTACATCATAACAATATAATTATTGCAAAATGACACAGTAAGCACAACTATATTCTTATATATAAATTGATATGATTAATAATCAATAATACATGGCATTTGCTTGCACAATAGAAATTATTTCGTTTTAAAGGTTTCAAAACATGTTTGTGGACATAAAACCAGATGGGTTTCACAATTAAACAAAGGGAATAAATGAGTTATGATTGCAATACCCATGGGAATTAAAAATAATTCTGTTTATACTTTAAGTTTATAGTAATGTCAATATCAATTTATGCATTTGAAATATTTGAATACAGACTGTTAAAGAGTTATCTGTTTCTGTAAATTATATACAGATCACATGTAGATTGAACATTCACAGGCCATTAATTAGTTGTGTTTTTGTTCATTTCATGACATGATTAATTTGGTACAGTAAAGTAAATATTATTTTGGTAGAAATATTGTTTACAAAATTGCAGATCAAACTGTACTTTACTTCAAATATTTACACACCCTTTATGTAATAATTCAGTTGAAATATTACACCTCATGCTATCTAATCTGTCATCATTGATAATCAAAATAACTGCTCACAATCACAACATCACAAGTAGATCTAGAGGTCAAATATTTTATTGGAATGCATTTGAGTTCATTACAATTTACATCAAATACGCAACTGATGCAAAATTCTGATTTGTTATGATTGTAAATTCTCAGTAGGTTACAATTTGATACATTATATCAACATATTAATTTAGTAAGTTTCTGACATATATCTAGATATGGTCAAAATGTCAATATTTCGACTTCAAATACAACCCGCAAAGTTATTTAAACTCACAATAAATAGTTTGGCTTAATGGTGTGTAAACAATGAATTATTCTTTACAAGATCTCAGTAGCATTTGTATTAAGTCTGTTCAGCTAACATAAACTGCCCCGGGAGTTACCAGGTGGTCATGGATATTTTAAATTGAAATCACAACAGAACGGCCAGACTCGAATTTATATCGGTAAGGAGACCAGAAAACAGTAGAATAGTTTGTCAATGATAAGAATAAGAATAATGTTCAATACTTACGATAAATGTACCGGGATGGTTAAATTGTCACAGTTTGTCCCGATTGCGTGCCTTGTTGACATCTCCGTGTGTTTCATGTGCTATCCAGCCTTCACCTTCTCCTCTCCAAGCCTCGCTTTCAAACCGGACGTAGCGAAGTGTGAAAAAGGCCATTAGGGACTATACACTGACACCCTTTGTTGGCCCGTGAAGATCCGGGGAAGAATCGGTCTTCAGCAACCCATGCTTGCCGTAAAAGACGACTATACTTGTCGTAAGAGGCGACAAACGGGATCGGGTGGTCAGGCTTGCTGACTTGGTTAATGCATGTCATCGATCCCAATTGCATGGATCGAGGTTCATGATATTACTCACTGGATTGTCTGGTCCAGACTCGATTATTTACAGACCGTCATGCAGCTGGAATATTGCTGAGTGCGGCGTTAAACAACAAAGCAAACCAAAGCAAGTTATGTGGGTTGACGCTTAGTTGTTCACCGTGCAGGGATCGTCAGTGCTCACGTCCAGCAGCACAACATCCCTAGGATGCAAAGGCCAGCAATGAGCCCAGGGCTTACTTGTACAAAGCGATCTTAGCGCTAAGACTATCATAAACCTATGTTAAAGTATGGGAGTTACGATCATCTTAGCGCTAAGATCGCTTTGTGCAGGTGGGCCCAAATCTTTCTCCAATGGGAAATGTTGGGACATGATAGGGAGATGTGTGTGTCAGCGTCACAGGCCAACCACCACGTTGGCTGAACTTGGCCAGGCACTGCATGAGGAGTGGGACAGATGCCCTAAAATCGCTATTGTGAGAGTCAGACCCATACTCACTTTGCCTTGTCGAGTGAATACGTCGAGTCATGGCACTATTACGCACTACTGATCCAACAACTACTAAGTAGCAACTACTTTTTGTGAAGAGTATATAGATAATACTTAGATTTAAAGAAGTTAAAGTTAACATGAAGGTTGAAGTACTTACTTGGCCCCGCTGACTTTAGTATGGGTCGTACAGGCACAGCTGTCTCTTTTGTGACTGGCAGTACTTGACTGTAACACACATCAGTGACTATACATTACATTTGTGCAATAACTATACCTGGTCTAACTGGTGTGATAACAGTACCAGGTGTCATAACTATACCTGGTGTCATAACTATACCAGGGCCCACTTGCACAAAGCGATCTTAGCGCTAAGACTGTCATAAGCCCATGTTAACGTATGGGAGTTACGATCATTTAAGCGCTAAGATCGCTTTGTGCAAGTGGGCCCTGGTGTCATAACTATACATGGTGTCATAACTATACATGGTGTCATAACTATACCTGGTGTCATAACTATACCTGGTGTCATAACTATACATGGTGTGATGACTATACCTGGTGTCATAACTATACCTGGTGTCATAACTATACATGGTGTCATAACTATACATGGTGTCATAACTATACATGGTGTCATAACTATACATAGTGTCATAACTATACCTGGTGTGATGACTATACCTGGTGTCATAACTATACCTGGTGTGATGACTATACCTGGTGTCATAACTATACCTGGTGTCATAACTATACCTGGTGTCATAACTATACCAGGTGTGATGACTATACCTGGTGTCATAACTATACCTGGTGTCTTAACTATATCTGGTGTCATAACTATACCTGGTGTGATGACTATACCTGGTGTCATAACTATACATGGTGTCATAACTATACATGGTGTCATAACTATACCTGGTGTGATGACTATACCTGGTGTCATAACTATACATGGTGTGATGACTATACCTGGTGTCTTAACTATACCTGGTGTCATAACTATACCTGGTGTCATAACTATACCTGGTGTCTTAACTATATCTGGTGTCATAACTATACATGGTGTGATGGCTATACCTGGTGTCATAACTATACATGGTGTCATAACTATACCTGGTGTCATAACTATACATGGTGTGATAACTATACATGGTGTCATAACTATACCTGGTGTGATGACTATACCTGGTGTCATAACTATACCTGGTGTCTTAACTATATCTGGTGTCATAACTATACCTGGTGTGATGACTATACCTGGTGTCATAACTATACATGGTGTCATAACTATACATGGTGTCATAACTATACCTGGTGTGATGACTATACCTGGTGTCATAACTATACATGGTGTGATGACTATACCTGGTGTCTTAACTATACCTGGTGTCATAACTATACCTGGTGTCATAACTATACCTGGTGTCTTAACTATATCTGGTGTCATAACTATACATGGTGTGATGGCTATACCTGGTGTCATAACTATACATGGTGTCATAACTATACCTGGTGTCATAACTATACATGGTGTGATAACTATACATGGTGTCATAACTATACCTGGTGTGATGACTATACCTGGTGTCATAACTATACCTGGTGTCATAACTATACCCAGTGTGATGGCTATACCTGGTGTCATAACTATACCTGGTGTGATAACTATACATGGTGTGATGGCTATACCTGGTGTCATAACTATACCTGGTGTCATAACTATACCTGGTGTCATAACTATACCTGGTGTCATTACTATACCTGGTGTCATAACTATACCTGGTGGCATAACTATACATGGTGTGATAACTATACCTGGTGTCATAACTATACCTGGTGTCATAACTATACCTGGTGTGATGACTATACCTGGTGTCATAACTATACCTGGTGTCATAACTATACCTGGTGTCATAACTATACCTGGTGTGATGGCTTTACCTGGTGTCATAACTATACCTGGTGTGATAACTATACATGGTGTGATGGCTATACCTGGTGTCATTACTATACCTGGTGTCATAACTATACATGGTGTGATAACTATACCTGGTGTCATAACTATACCTGGTGTCATAACTATACCTGGTGTCATAACTATATATGGTCCACAAGCCCCAGCAACCTATGCTGGTCTTTATAGGCCACAAGCCCACAGCAACCTATGCTGGTCATAATAGGCCACAAGCCCACAGCAACCTATGCTGGTCGTAATAGGCCACAAGCCCCAGCAACCTATGCTGGTCATAATAGGCCACAAGCCCACAGCAACCTATGCTGGTCGTAATAGGCCACAAGCCCACAGCAACCTATGCTGGTCATAATAGGCCACAAGCCCACAGCAACCTATGCTGGTCATAATAAGCCACAAGCCCACAGCAACCTATGCTGGTCGTAATAGGCCACAAGCCCACAGCAACCTATGCTGGTCGTAATAGGCCACAAGCCCACAGCAACCTATGCTGGTCGTAATAGGCCACAAGCCCACAGCAACCTATGCCACAAAATGGATTGGCTGGTCAGATGATATCAATCACCACTTTAGCTGGTCCATGTTGCATTATTTACAGGCCGCCATCTTATAGCTGGAATAATGCTGAGTGCACAGTTAAACAACAAACAAATTATTATGAGAAAAAAAACTTACATGTCATTCAACTCTACAGATGGGCCAGCTTCAGCTGCCAGAGATGGCGCCACATCTAAGTGAGATTTCTTCTCTGTTTCCTTCTTGGACAACTTTACAGATGGGCCAGCTTTAGTTGCCGGAGATGGCGCCGCATCTAAGTGAGATTTCTTCTTGGCCAACTCTACAGGTGGGACAGCTTTAGTTGCCGGAGATGGCGCCGCATCTAAGTGAGATTTCTTATCGGCCAACTTTACAGATGGGACAGCTTTAGTTGCCGGAGATGGCGCCGTATCTATGTGGGATTTCTCCTCTGTTTTCTTCTTGGCCAACTTTACAGATTGGTTAGCTTTAGCTGCCGGAGATGGCGCCGCATCTAAGTAAGATTTCTTCTTGGCAAACTGTACAGATGGGACAGCTTCAGCTGCCGGAGATGGCGCCGCATCGAAGTGAGATTTCTCCTCTGTTTCCTTCTTGGCAAACTGTACAGATGGGACAGCTTTAGCTGCCAAAGATGGCGCCACGTCTAAGTGAGATTTCTTCTCTGTTTTCTTCTTGGCCAACTCTATAGATGGGCCAGCTTGAGCTGTTGGAGATGGCGGAAAGTCTAAATGAGATTTCTCCTCTGTTTCCTTCTTGGCCAACACTTCAGATGGGTGCAGCTGTAAAGGAATAATGAATACATGTATACATTCTACACAGGGAAATGTCATAGGGTCACCGGGACAGAACATCAGGGTTGACTGTCATTGTTACGTTACAGCCATCACCTTATGTTTTTGTTCAGCCCAACTTTAGTGCCGACCCGGAAAAAATATTAGGATTAAATACATACCCCGGTAGCATTCAATGAAAATGTTCCGACCCTGTGGTGAAAAATCCAACCTCAACCTTCAACACACAAAACCCCACCCCATCCTTCAACATGTGTCCCCTGACACACAACACCCCACCCTTCAACATGTGTCTCCTGACACACAAAACCCTACCCCATACTTCAACATGTGTCCCTGATACACAACACCCCACCCTTCAACATGTGTCCCCTGATACACAACACCCCACCCTTCAACACGTGCCCCCTGATACACAACACCCCACCCTTCAACACGTGCCCCCTGATACACAACACCCCACCCGTCAACACGTGTCACCTGATACACAACACCCCACCCTTCAACACGTGCCCCCTGACAGACAACCCCACCCTTCAACATGTGCCCCCTGACAGACAACCCCACCCTTCAACATGTGTCCCTGATACACAACACCCCACCCTTCAACACGTGCCACCTGATACACAACACCCCACCCTTCAACACGTGCCCCCTGACAGACAACACCCCACCCTTCAACATGTCTCCCCTGACACCTTTCAACATGTGCCCCCTGACAGACAACCCCCCATCCTTTAACATGTGCCCTCTGACAGACAACACCCCACTCTTCAACATGTGCCCCCTGACAGACAACCCCACCCTTCAACACGTGCCCCCTGACAGACAACCCCACAACTCACCTGTTCCACAGGGAACTCATGCTGATACACATTGAGCTGATTGAAGAGGGCAATTTCTCTCTCAAAGTCATATTTCTCAAGGCGGGAGATTCCATCTTCAAATAATGGACCCAGTCTCTCTCCCCTGGAGGAAGATGTATATGGTGACGAAATGGAATAACATAGAAATGTTTGACAATTTGACATTATAACCAGCATAGGCAGTAGAGGTTGGATGTGTGAGTTGGGTTTAATGCTGCTTTTAACAGTATTCCAGTTATATCGCGGTGTGTCAGCTTAATGTGGGAGGAAAGCCCGAAGTGATACAGGTCTCAGACGTTTACCACTTTGGTGAAACCCACGAGCACGGGTATGGTGCTGACAAACCTAGAAACATAATCGAGCACCGGGATTAGAACCCACAGTCATAGGTTTCTGGCGTGCCCAAGGGACGCAACTCTGCACAGCGAATCGCGGCGCCTTAGACGACTGGGCCCCCTGTGACCCCTGCGGATACCATGACGTCATAATTTTTGAAATTATGTCACTTGTTTCTCATGAGACAGTTATTCACACATTGAGAGACACATGGCAATCATTTGGTTTTGTTTGTTTGTTTGTTTGTTTGTTTGTTTGTTTAAAGCCACACTCAGCAATATCCCAGCTATATGATGGTGGTCTGTACATAATTGAGTCTGGACCAGACAATCCAGTTATTGACATCATGAGCATCCATCCAATCAAATGAGATATGATGACATGTATCAACCAAGTCAGCGGGCCTGACAGCAAGCATGGGTTGCTGAAAACCTAATATAACCTGGCAGTCATTTGGCAGATACCACACATATATTTCACCGAAACAACTCTTTAAACTCGTAATATCAAATTAATTACATGTGCAATCAGCTGTGTGATTTTACAAGCTCAATATTTGTGTCCATAGCTCGACTTTCTGTCATCTGGTATCTACAAGTCCATTTCTGTAAACTCTTTTGGGACAATTCTAGCTCATCGTATCATATCTACCTGTGGATTTCTACTGCTTTACTGATTTGTATGACTGAAGTCATCACATGCTGCAGCTGCTGAAGGCGGGCTCTCTCATGAGCATTAGATTCATCCTGGAATCTTTTCATTTCCTGAAACATATAGAAATTATCATTTTGACATTTGTTATAATCCCTGCACAAGTCCCTACCTCTATGAAAGTCATACTCTTGTTAACCTGTAATCCCTGCACAGATCAGGTATAAATATCTATACACTGTTATAATCCCTGCACAAGTCCCTACTTCTATGAAAGTCATCCTCTTGTTAACCTGTAATCCCTGCACAGATCAGGTATAAATATCTATACACTGTTATAATCCCTGCACAAGTCCCTACCTCTATGAAAGTCATACTCTTGTTAACCTGTAATCCCTGCACAGATCAGGTATAAATATCTATACACTGTTATAATCCCTGCACAAGTCCCTACTTCTATGAAAGTCATCCTCTTGTTAACCTGTAATCCCTGCACAGATCAGGTATAAATATCTATACACTGTTATAATCCCTGCACAAGTCCCTACCTCTATGAAAGTCATACTCTTGTTAACCTGTAATCCCTGCACAGATCAGGTATAAATATCTATACACTGTTATAATCCCTGCACAAGTCCCTACTTCTATGAAAGTCATCCTCTTGTTAACCTGTAATCCCTGCACAGATCAGGTATAAATATCTATACACTGTTATAATCCCCGCACAGATCAGGTATAAATATCTATACACTGTTATAATCCCTCCACAAGTCCTTACTTCTATGAAAGTCATACTCTTGTTAACCTGTAATCCCTGAACAGATCAAGTATAAATATCTATACACTGTTATAATCCCCGCACAGATCAGGTATAAATATCTATACACTGTTATAATCCCTGCACGGATCAGGTATAAATATCTATACACTGTTATAATCCCTCCACAAGTCCTTACTTCTATGAAAGTCGTTCGTGTAGATTTTTCCTCTTGCAGTTTTTGTCTGTAGGATGTGCTGGCCCTTTCACCATCAGCCTGCAGCTGCTTCCACCGAGTCACCAGAGCACCATATCGGGCATGGTCGTCCTGTGCAGCGTCCAGCTCCAGCTTGAAGTCAACCTCTTTGTCCTTAGCCAGGAAGAAGTTCTGTGAACATAACGGATTAAACCCTGAGGAACAAACATTTCATCAGAGAAACAAAAACTTTAGATGAGTTCACAGTCCGAAGCTCGATCCTGGTAAAATTTTGTTGTCTTATCTTCCCAAGGCAAGTGAGTTAAGCGACTATAAAAGTCCAGTTTCCACCCTTGCCAAGCTAGGCAGGAATTATGGAGTTATATTTTGGCTGGACTAACAAGTCTATGCATAGTCCAATTAAAATCTCGTAACGAAATCGACATCCAGTTCGTAAACTGCCGTGTAGAGATCGGTCAATTGACAGATTTGTAAAGCATGTGTACTGCCAACTTGGCGTCAACAGATATTCTCCAGATCCTTTCATGTTTCTAATCAAGGTGCTCACATGATTTGATGCACTTCGTGCAGAAAGTCCCATTTTATTAAGACATAGATTTTGATTATCGATTTGATCATCTTGACAGAGCGCCACCATTTAGTTTGCGGCAAATGCAAGTGATATGAGGGATGGAATCTGATTGGTCAATAGGAGGGACATAAAGGGACATAACCCACAATTGTCACTGGTGGCACTATCATTGAGCCCAGAAATTCCAGTGTAGTTGATCAAGGGTGGAAACTTGACTTTAATAGTCGGTTAACGCCCTTGCCTTGAGAAGATGGTTGGGTCGAATTCAAGTTCACTTGATAAAACAAAAATGTATGTAAAAACATGACAAACAGAGGAGTTTTTTATTCAACTTGTAAACCGTCAAAACGCAAGAAAAGCAGAGAGAAAAGGACTATACTATAGTGAAACAATACAGTTTGTCACAGTATAAAAGGAATTCGATGAATCTGACAAGAGAAAGACTATATGCTATATGCACACAACTGAGGTCATGACATTTTAGAATGAACACCCTTTCATCACCAGCCCCGGTGGCTCTGAGAAAACAATGGGTTACAAAGACTAAACACGATTTTTTAGGTTGGAGCTTCCTTTTAACTTTTAACAAATCAAAAACCAACATAACATTCATATCAAAAGGCCAGTTCATAAAATTCAACTATGAAACCTTGGTCTTACAATGCAATTAAAATTGGGGTATTTCCTTCCAAATGCCTAGAGCATTCGCAGTTTATCAACACAACCTTATCAACCTACTCACACAGTTGTGTTATGTCACAAAAGGTCTATAAGAACATAATCAGCGCTAATATAGCGGCCATAAAATTTTCAAGTCCTGTAATGCCATAAGAACCACGGACCTTCTGATCCGAGGTGGGGTGCCTTGTTCACATGACCAAAGAGGTTAACCCAGTCAGCAAGCTGACAAGATAAGGATGTCATCTGTGGGATGACTCCACGCCCTGCTAAACAGAGATGACAAGACAAGCAAGTCGTCATACTGAAGACACACCGTGAAGACACACCGGGGAAGAATAGGTCTTCAGCAACCAAAGCTTGTAGTGGAGTGCGACTATGTCGTAAAAGGCGACTAACGTGATCGGGTGGTCAGGCTCGCTGACTTGGTTGATGCATGTCATCGATCCCAATTGCGTGGATCGATGCTCATGATATCAATCACTGGATTGTCTGGTCCAGACTCGATTATTTGCAGACCACCTTCATACAATACTGCTGAGTATTAAACAACAAACCAACCAACCAATCATACTGAAGTCAAAATCAACTACATCACCTTGTGAGTGAGTGAGTATGGTTTTACGACGCTTTTTAGCAATATTCCAGCAATATCGGTGGAGGACACCAGAAATGGGCTTCACACATTGTACCCATGTCAGGAATCGAACCCTTGTCTTCGGCGTGACGAGCGAACACTTTAACCACTAGGCTACCCGCCCGCCCTACATCACCTGGTATCAGCTTGAATGTGTGTACAGGTACACCACCTCAGATCACTAGGGACAAATCATCCTTCATTATCCAAGTCAGGTGCAGTATAAGCATGCTAAACACTCACCCCCTTCAGCTTGAATATGTGTACAGGTATACCCCCTCAGATCACTAGGGAGAAATCATCCTTGATTATCCAAGTCAGGTGCAGTATAAACATGTTAAACACTCACCCCCTTCAGCTTGAATGTGTGTACAGGTATACCACCTCAGATCACTAGGGAGAAATCATCCTTGATTATCCAAGTCAGGTGCAGTATAAACATGCTACACACTCACCCCCTTCAGCTTGAATGTGTGTACAGGTATACCACCTCAGATCACTAGGGAGAAATCATCCTTCATTATCCAAGTCAGGTGCAGTATAAACATGTTAAACACTCACCCCCTTCAGCTTGAATGTGTGTACAGGTATACCACCTCAGATCACTAGGGAGAAATCATCCTTGATTATCCAAGTCAGGTGCAGTACAAACATGCTACACACTCACCCCCTTCAGCTTGAATGTGTGTACAGGTATACCACCTCAGATCACTAGGGAGAAATCATCCTTCATTATCCAAGTCAGGTGCAGTATAAACATGCTACACACTCACCCCCTTCAGCTTGAATGTGTGTACAGGTATACCACCTCAGATCACTAGGGAGAAATCATCCTTGATTATCCAAGTCAGGTGCAGTATAAACATGTTAAACACTCACCCCCTTCAGCTTGAATGTGTGTACAGGTATACCACCTCAGATCACTAGGGAGAAATCATCCTTGATTATCCAAGTCAGGTGCAGTATAAACATGCTACACACTCACCCCCTTCAGCTTGAATGTGTGTACAGGTATACCACCTCAGATCACTAGGGAGAAATCATCCTTCATTATCCAAGTCAGGTGCAGTATAAACATGTTAAACACTCACCCCCTTCAGCTGTTTGATGTCCTTCTCCAGCATAGCCTGCTTTTGCTTTGCCCTTTCAAAGAGTGATAGAGTGGCCTCCCTTGTAGCCTTGGCCTCTTCTGAGTTGATGTAACTGGGACAAGGATGAAGACCATGAATATTTCAACACTGGAATCTCTCCATATTTCATTTTGGTGTTGTCTGAGACCATAAGGGATTACGTTGTTTTATAAACATTGACTGGCTTCAGAGCTCCCGATAAGCTGCGCATCTGCGTAAAATACGCATCAGAAATGCAGAAGTACGCAGTAAAATAAAATCCAAGCGTATTAAATACGCAACGAACATTACAGATACGCTACAAAAATATAACTTGTGTGTATCATCAAAATATTGTGAAGTAACCCTGCGTATTCGATTCGCAAATCAGCAACTTATTTTGAAATTATAAACAGGCATTCCGTCAACCTTGCCAAACTCCACGATGACAGTTACATCATGATCATTTCCAATCACACTTTCTTGTGGAAGTATCGTGGTATTTTTGAGTCCTACAAAGCTCTCGAACCCAGTGACTAGACATATGACATGACTAGATGAATAGTGTTTTTAAATATTTAACTTAAATACCTATATGTGTAAAAACTAGTGGGTAACAGAAATTTGAATACCAAGATAGAATTACTGATACCCAATGATTTTAAAATGCATGGGTAAAATACCCACAACACCAAAAGCACATCTGGAGCTCTGTGGCTGAATGGGTCAATGTCTTTTGCATTCATTTCCCAATGAATGTAAAAAAATATGCCACACCCACTAGAAGGACTAGCTTTAATTTTAACCATGATATAATGTCAGAGAATCCTAATTCAGTGTAAGTTGTTGGAATTTTCTTACCACCTTACCAAATTATCTTATTGCTACAATTATTGTAAATCCTTAAATTCACGATCTCAGGATGTGGCTACAATCACCATCCACTTGAGCCAAGTATTGTAGGTGTAGCGGCCATAAAATTTCCGAGTCCCATGATGGGATTCGAACCACGGACCTTCTGATCCGAGGTCGGACGCCTTGTCCACATGACCAAAGAGGTTAACCCCGTCAGCAAGCTGTCAAGGTAAGGATGTCATCTGTGGGATGACTCCACGCCCTGCTACATACTCCCCCGTCAACAGAAGGAACGTCCCGGGCCGCATAGCAGGGTACTGAGGCTTATTTTGCTCAAATTTGATATGAACGTGCTCAGCCCCACGTTGGGCGCCAATGTAGCGGCCATAAAATTTCCGAGAGTAGTGGATGCAGTATTCGTTACAGCCCTAGTATTGGCATCTGTACCGAAATGTCGCTTTCAAAGAATACAAAAAGTTTGAAATTGATAGGTGAACTCTGTGCTTGATTTAATAGACGAAAAACAGTCATTTAATGTTTAAATCAAACTATCACATGATAAGGTCAAGTTCAAGCTTGTGTTTGCCCCTGTCTTTGAATCCAGATAATACTTACTTCTGAAGGCTTCGAATGGGGCCATCTGTGGCAGTCAGTGAGCTTAATAATTGGATATGCTGATCTTGCTTTTCCTTGTAAGTGGCCATCCAGATTCTCAATACAACATTCACCTCGTCGTCAGCTATGGTGCCACCTGCATGAATGCAATGATATTGACCCTGATATTTACCGATGAATGAATAAATGAATGAGTGAGTGAGTGAGTGAGTGAGTGAGTGAGTGAGTGAGTGAGTGAGTGAGTGAGTGAGTGAGTGAGTGAGAGTGAATGAATGAATGAATGAATGATTGAATGAATGAATGAATGAATGAATGGACAGATGAACAAGCTAACGAAAGGAAATGTTAGGTCAATTTAACATGTCATGAAGCTTACCAATTTCAATAAGGGCTCTCTTCTTCCACTTTGTTTCAAACTCTTCGTAGAGTTGGCTGACCTTTTTCTCCATGCTTGCATGGTCCGACAGAAGGTTAAGGAGATTAACCATTGAACTGAAAATATTGGGCCTACCTTTAGAATACAGTACCACAAACTTTTCAAACACGTGACAATACCCTATGACGTAATTTGTAGTATTTTGTTGCCGGTCACACCAGCGAAACAATGCCCTGTGACATCAGCTCCTCCCAGTGATCTATAATCTCTACATGCGATGTCACTGAATATGCCTAGTGATGCTGAGAGTTTAGAATATTTGTTTACTAAATGTAGCCTGCGCCGGTGCATTTTATAGAAAGCCCTAGTTGATGCTCATGATATTAATCACTGGACTGACTGGTCAAGACGTGATTATTTACAGACCGCCATCATATAGCTGGAATATTGACGAGTGCAGCGTTAAACAACAAACTGAGCATCGATCCATGCAATTGGGATACGATGACATGCATCAACCAAGTCAGCAGCCTCAGCACCCTGACCACCCGATCCCGTTAGTCATCTCTTACGACAAGCATAGTCGCCTTTTACGGCAAGCATGGGTTGCTGAAGACCTATTCCACCCTGATCTTCACGATTGTAGCAGACTTACACACCCACAGCAGGCTATCAGTATTTTACTAATCTTTTATGCCAGAAAATACTTTGCCTCAGTTTACTTTCGACAAAATCAAGTCATCAGCTGATCGCAAGCAGCCAAGGCCAAATAGTTTAGTTTATTTAATATCAATTTCATTGTAATATTTACCCATGTCCTCGTGTAAACCTTTGAAGTGAAGCTTCCGTCGACGCTTGACACCATTTTGGAAGTTCCATGTCTTGATCGACACGCGCAATGTTTGAGTTTTGCGCCATCACGACTCCCTAATCCTTTCCTTTCAGACGCCACGGGGACAATAGCCGTCGCTAGGTACGTCACTGGAGACCGGCGTTTTGATTGGCTGAACCTAGCTCCTGACATTGATACTTCGCTCGTAACACGCGCTGGGGTGGAGCTTATTGGTAGACTCTGATGGCGCCATAACCAAAGTATCTTCCTTGGCAGTAGCATCCATCATGTCTATAGACACATCCAGGATTTATTCCTGTTTCTTCACATCGGTGTGGAGTTATATGTGCCAAACCCATTCCAATATGTTCAAATGTGAAAAAAACTTAGGCATAAACAAAAATAAACGCCAGTTTTTGAAATTATATTTCTAAATTAAAAATTAACTCAAGGATGCAACAAGATTCAGAAAAGTATATAGCTAATGACGCTAAAGCTAACATCTTCGATAATGAATCCAACATAGAGATAAATCAACTAACAAGTGACAAATTAGGTACTGAAATTGACAATAAAGTTGGCTAAACTATGGCTAAAGATTCTTCGTCACAAGCTGTACCTCAATTCCAAAAATACAAACAGCAGCAAGGAAAGAAAATAGGGCTGGGACGAGTCCAAAATTACTACCCGGGTATCCAACCCCCTATTACCCGACCCTACCCGGGTACCCACTGCAAGTCTCAAGAGTTGGGAACAAAATGTCTGATTGGTAATTGTTTTACCGCAGCCCCGGCTAAAACTATTTAGATACCTGTATCAAACAATCAGATCATGCGTTCACTGAAGTTGACTGAAGCATCATCTTTACTCAAACTTACACAAGTCAAAAGGAATGTGTTCATCGTCAGAAAGAAATACGATCATTAGCAACTTGTAGTGTAACCACTGAGCTGTAGTGAGTTTTTGACATTAAACAATATATCACGTGACTAACCACGGGTCCGGGTAGTCCTGTTTGTACCCGGGTCCTACTCAGGACCCATCCGATTCGAGTACCCGAGTTACCCGTCCCAGCCCTAAAAGAAAAGTATCAATTTCAATTCAGATTAATAATATTTTTCATTCATGAACTCCATACTGCCCTTGGGCATGCTCGGGATCCTGCAACAGTGTCTGATGATATCAATATTTATCTCCTAAACATTTCAATGATCAGGTTTACAAATCCTGTTGATAACATTATAAGAAATGTTCCTTCTTCATGGCGCCTGGTCGTTAAAGCGTTCGCTCCTCATGCAGAAGACTCGGGTTCGATTCCCGACATGGGTACAATGTGTGAAGCCCATTTCTGGTGTCCCCCGCCGTGATATTGCTGGAATATTGCTAAAAGCGGCGTAAAACCAAACTCACTCACTCATGATGGCGCGAGACCCGTGAAGATCCGGGGTAAAATAGGTCATCAGCAACCCATGCTTGCCGTAAAAGGCGACTATGCTTGTCGTATAAGGGGCGACTAACGGGATCGGGTAGTCAGGCTCGCTGACTTGGTTGATGCATGTTATCGTATCCCAATTGCGTCGATCGATGTTCATGATATCAGTCACTGGATTGTCTGGTTGAGACTCGATTAACAACAAACAAACAAACATTATGGCGAGATAGTATAATAATTTACCTTGACCAGATCGTACTGGTCCCTCCTCTGCCGATTTCATTGCATTTGCAAAAACATGAAACGCATAGTCAACAATAGAGTAACCTAGTACTTAGAACCAAAAGTTTTATCAACAATATTCAATGTCGAATCCAAAACACTCGAAGTATTATTGACCATTTAGTTAGATTGGAATCTCGTGTTTAAAATACAGTTTAAAATAACCACTCAACATGCAGTATATATCTGTGTCGGTCTAGAAAAAGTATATTTACATTATTTTGTGTTGAGAGGCTGTCAGCCTCGACTCATATATAGGTCTAAACAGACAGACGAGTCTAAGAGGTGAGGTGAAATGGGGTTTAACTCGCATCCAAGATTAAGTCTTACATAGCGACGTGCATGCACGTGTGTGTGTGGCTGCTTGTACTAGTCCGGACTGATGCCGATTTATACTGCTAGCACACTGAGATACCATGCCGCAGTTAACATGAATACCCTACTCAGACACAGTATACTGACTCCGAGCCGACCAGTCCTTGTTTTAGCCCCTTAATGCCGAGCGCCAGACAGGGAAACAACAAGTACCATTTTTTGACGTCTTTTTGTATGACGCGGCCGGGGATCGAACCCCGGACCTTCTGCTCTCCGGGCGGACGCTCTACCACTAGACCACGGAGGCGGTCGACGAGTCTAGGATGTTGTGGGAGCTACCCGTATCTGATAATTATAATCAGGACCAGGGTGTCCCACAGGGCAGTATTTTACCTGTCATGATATTCAACATAATGACAAACAGTCTTTCAAGAGTTATAAATGATTTAATTGATGGATCACTTTTAGTCATTAATTTTGTCGTGGCAAAAATATCCATACTGTCGAAAAGCAAATGCTATTGTATCTAAATAAATGCATGACTTTTCATTTGAAAATGGGGGGCACGGTAGGTCCAGTCGTCGAAGGCGCCTCTTTTCGCTGTGCAGAGTTGCGTACCTTGGGCACGCCAGAAACTTATAATTGTGGGTTCGAATCCCGGTTCACCCCGATTATGTTTCTAAGTTTGTCAGCACCATACCCGTGCTCGTGGGTTTCACTGAAGTGGTAAACGTCTGAGACCTGCATCGTTTCAGGCTTTCCTCCCACATTAAGCTGACACGCCGCGATATGACTGGGATACTGTTAAACGCGGCGTTACACTCATTTGAAAATGGTTTTAAATTTTCTCAATCGAAAACGGAGTATCATGTCTGTTCAAAGTATTGATTCACTTGTATCTGATTTGAAGTTTTGGGAAACAGAAACTCCATATTTTCTCAAACTGGATCCGTCCTAGAGTAGTCCTACATGGCACTAGGATCCGTCCTAGAGTAGGCCTACATGGAGCTAAGATCCCTCCTAGAGAAGGCCTACATGGCGCTAGGATCCGTCCTAGAGTAGGCCTACATGGAGCTAGGATCCGTCCTAGAGTAGGCCTACATGGCGCTTGGATCCGTCCTAGAGTAGACCTACATGACACTTGGATCCGTGCTAGAGTAGGCCTTCATGGCGCTAAGATCCCTCCTAGAGAAGGCCTACATGGCGCTTGGATCCGTCCTAGAGTAGGCCTACATGGCGCTTGGATCCGTCCTAGAGTAGGCCTACATGGCGCTTGGATCCTTCCTAGAGTAGGCCTACATGACACTTGGATCCGTCCTAGAGTAGGCCTACATGGCACTTGGATCCGTCCTAGATTAGGCCTACATGGCGCTAGGATCCGTGCTAGAGTAGGCCTACATGACACTTGGATCCGTCCTAGAGTAGGCCTACATGGCGCTTGGATCCGTCCTAGAGTAGGCCTACATGGCGCTAGGATCCGTCCTAGAGTAGGCCTACATGGCGCTAGGATCCGTCCTAGAGTAGGCCTACATGGCGCTAGGATCCGTGCTAGAGTAGGCCTACATGGCGCTTGGATCCGTCCTAGAGTAGGCCTACATGGCGCTAGGATCCGTCCTAGAGTAGGCCTACATGGCGTTAGGATCCGTGCTAGAGTAGGCCTACATGGCACTAAGATCCCTCCTAGAGTAGGCCTACATGGCGCTAGGATCCGTGCTAGAGTAGACCTACATGGCGCTTGGATCCGTCCTAGAGTAGGCCTACATGACACTTGGATCCGTCCTAGAGTAGGCCTACATGACACTTGGATCCGTCCTAGAGTAGGCCTACATGGCGCTAGGATCCGTGCTAGAGTAGACCTACATGGCGCTTGGATCCGTCCTAGAGTAGACCTACATGGCGCTTGGATCCGTGCTAGAGTAGGCCTACATGGCGCTTGGATCCGTCCTAGAGTAGGCCTACATGGCGCTAGGATCCGTCCTAGAGTAGGCCTACATGGCCCAGAACATATATTTGATAAAACATTCATTGCCATTATATATTCCCATGCCTCTAGGGGCGGTGGGGTAGGCTAGCGGTTAAAGCGTCAGCTCGTCACGCTGACCCGGGTTCGATTCCCACATGGGTACAATGTGTGAAGCCCATTTCTAGTGTCCCGAGGTGATATTGCTGCAATATTGCTGAAAGCGGCTTAAAACCATATTCACTCACTCATACCTTCACTGTTGTAAGAGTCTATACTCACCTCCTCTTCAACCCTAAATGCCAAATTGAAAGGTTCCTTAAATTTGATACTAGTTCTCGTAGGCTCCCCTCATAGTATGCATGTCGTAAGAGGCGACTAACGGGATCGGGTGGTCAGGCTCGCTGATTTGGTTGATGGATGTCATTTATCCCAATTGCGTGGATCGATGCTCGTGATATAATCACTGGCGTTAAACAACAAACCAACCAACCAACCCTCATAGTCAGTTGGCCACCGGTTCCCATTTTTTCTTGTATATCTAAAACTATTTCTTTTGCATAAAGGATGTATCTGCACACAATGTCCAATGGGTAGTAAGCTTGGAATGTGTGCGTGGATTTTCAGGGGGTCAAAATTGCACATAATTAAGGAAACATACATAATTTGACAACATTGGATGAAACATTTTTATTAAGTCATTAAACTATCCAAATTATGTCTTTGATTACAGGTAATTAGTTCGGTTTTGTTTCATTTAACTGTTATTCTAATTCTCAGTGAAAACATTGCTAAAAATCATGTTTTTTTTACTTCAATTTCAAATCTTGTAGGCAGGTAAAACACTAATTCAAATGAATTGGGACAATAAAACCACTATAACTCAATATCTGCCTAACCAATGTGCTATCCTATACAAAAAACAAAATGAAGAATATATTACTTAGGGGCTGAGATATTGTATACAATGTAACCCCATCCCCAAAACCAGTTTTGACGAAACTTGCTTCTTGGGATTTGGTGGTAGTTCATGTTAATATAGTAGATTAGTAGTATAACTGCAACAGTGCTTAAAAACACCAAAATTGTGAAATTATAAAGTGAAAATTATGATTCAAGTTT